CCGTCTCCCCCCCCCCCCATTTTGTCTGCATAGGGACTGACTTCACTTACCCAGTAGCAAAAGAAATGTATTCTAATATTCTGCATTCTAATAATAAATAAATTCCGTGTGTGCTCAGAGGCCATTTCTAGAAAATAAACTAAGATTTATAAAATTATTCATGGTGTGAAAAGTGTAGATGGAGGGAATTGTTCTAAATGTACTAAAATTCAGGGAGCACCCAGTGAATCATTGGTAGGTTTGGGACACACCAAGGGAAATAACTTCTTTGCAAAATGTCTAATGATGTAATTTGGGAAGGCCTCAGCCTCTGTACCCTGTTGCTGGCCCTCCAGAGGAACTGGTTGGCCACTGTGTGAGACCGGATCCTGGACTAGATGGAGCACTGGTGTGATCCAGCAGGATTCTTTTGATGTTCTTCTGAAGGCCTTGGCCTCTATGCTCTGTTGCTGGCCCTCCAGAGGAACTGGTTGGCCACTGTGTGAGACCGGATCCTGGACTAGATGGAGCACTGGTGTGATCCAGCAGGATTCTTTTGATGTTCTTCTGAAGGCCTTGGCCTCTATGCTCTGTTGCTGGCCCTCCAGAGGAACTGGTTGGCCACTGTGTGAGACCGGATCCTGGACTAGATGGAGCACTGGTGTGATCCAGCAGGATTCTTTTGATGTTCTTCTGAAGGCCTTGGCCTCTATGCTCTGTTGCTGGCCCTCCAGAGGAACTGGTTGGTCTCTGTGCAAGACTGGATCCTGGACTAGATAAACCACTGGTCTGATCCAGGAGGGCTCTCTTATGTTCTTACCAGGGGACGTCCTCACAGGATTGTTGTGAGGATAAAAAGGAGGAGAGGAGAATGATGTAAGCCACTTTGGGTTCCCATTAGGAAGAAAGGCAGGGTATAAATGAATTAAATAAATAAAATAATACCGTTGCTTTTGACGGAGAACAAAGAGGAAGAGGACCTCGGCTATACCAATGAACATGATTTTCACTATGTCTGGATTCCTCTTCTACTGGTTCCTTCTCAGCCACTTGTCTATAGCTGCTGGTCACTGACTCAGGACAGTGTTATGATCAAAATCCAGAGGGGACGCCATGGTGGGTTTGTGGAAGCAAACCTGAACCGGAGCCCAGTGGCACCTTGAAGACCACCCCATTTATTCTGGCTAAGCTCTCATGAGATACTGATGAAGCTCTTCTGACTCTCAAGTGTTTAGACTGGAACAGACTTTGTTAGCAACTAAAGCACCAATGGACTCCTGCTTATTCTTATTCTAATGCAGGGTTATTACCTTGCATGTAAAGTTGCCAGAAGGATTGTCACATAGAGAGCCAGTGTGCAGTAGCGGTTAAGAGGATCGGACTAGTGTCTGGGAGATCCAGGTTCGAATCCCCAAGTGTGCCACGGAAGCTCACTGGGCGACCTTAGGCCAGTCACACATTCGCAGCCCAACCTGCCTCACAGGGTTGTTGTGAGGATAAAATGGAGAAGGATGTAAGACGCTTTGGGTCCCCATTGAGGAGAAAGGTGGGGTACAAACGAATTAAATAAATAATTTTGGGCTGGGAAATTCCTGGAGATTTGGGAAGTGGAACCTGGGGTAGTGGGGTTTGGGGAAGGGAGGGGCCTCAGCCATATATTCCACTCTTCACAGTAGCCATTTTCTCCAGGGGAACTGATCTCTGGAGGGATGAAGGGAGCTTTGACTCTCGTGAACTTATACTCTGAAGCTCTTGAACACATGAAGCTGCCTTATACTGAATCAGACCCTTGGTTCATCCAGGTCGGTATTGCCTACTCACACTGGCAGCAGCTCTCCAGGGTCTCAGGAAGCGGCCTTTCTCATCCCCTACTGCCTGGTCCTTTTAACTGGAGATGCCGGGGATTGAACCTGGGACCTTCTGCATGCCAAGCAGAGGCTCTGCCACTGAGCCAGAGTCTCAGGTCAAGGTCTTTCTCATCACCTCCTGCCTGGTCATTTCAACTGGAGATGCCAGGGACTGAACCTGGGACCTTCTACATGCCAAGCAGAGGCTCTACCACAGAGCCACTGCTTTGTTGGCCTCTAAGGTACTACTGGACTCGAATCTAACCGTTCCACTGCAGAACCAACACCGGCTACCGTCTGAAACTATCTTCATGGAGGTAACTTGTAATTCCAGATCTCCAGGCCCCCAGATGGAGGTTGGCAGCCCTATCCCATAATTCCCTATACTTGTTTATAGCCCTTCCCAGAGCCGTCCCTGTTAATTCCCCAGCCTGAGTTAATATTTTTAAAGCAATTACACATTTCCCCTCCTCCTTTACCTACCATTAACAACTATTATTACAATTTTAGCCTATTTCTAGGGTTGCCAGGTTCTCCCTCGGCACTGACAGGGGATTGGGGGTAGGGTTGCCAGATCCAGGTTGGGAAATTCCTGGAGATTTGGTAGGGTTGCCAGGTCTGGGTTGGAAAATACCTGGAGACTTTGGGGGTGGAGCCAGAAGTGGGCGGGGTTTGGGGAGGGGCCTCAGCAGGGTACCATGCCACAGAGTCCACCCTCCAAAGCAGCTATTTTCTCTCTGTCAGCTGGAGATCAGTTGTAAAAGCGGGAGATCCCCAGGCCCCACCTGGAGGCTAGCAACCCTAAGATTTGGGGATCCAGCCTGGGGAGGGCAGGGACCTCAGTGGGGCACAATGCCACAGAGTCTACCCTCCAACGGGTCTATTTCCTCCAGGGGAGCTGATCTCTGCAGCCTGTAGCTGTAATTCCAGTGGACCGCCAGGCCCCACCTGGAGGTTGGCATCCCTCCAATATTCCCTATTATTTTTCACATTGCATCGCCTGAGAGGAGAACAAGAACTGCCCGCATTTTTTTTTTTTTTAAAGCAAAGAAATATGGGTAAAAACCCAACGGGGTAGCCCGCCCGCCTGCCCCCACCCCTCACAGACAACGGTCTAACTTCTCTCCCCCCCACTTCCTAATATGGGACCCCCAACCGCCTTCTCCTTCCTTAACCGTCCCGCCCGCTTTCCAGCTCCCCTCCCCCGGAACTGAATGGTTCAGCCCAGTGCTCCGCGAGCGGTTTCCACCGCAGGCTGAGGGCGGCGCTGGGTGACAACATCAGGCGGCGCCCTGGGAGAGTCCAAGTGTGCGGAGAGGGGGAGGCGCGCGCGTGCGTGGGTGTGTTCGCAGAGGCTGCAGGTGAGGAGGAGGAGGAGGAGGAGACACGCCGCCCGGGGTGGCTTGGGGAGAGGGCGGCGGAGACGTGTGGGGGCTGAGTGCTTGCCCTCCCCTTCTTCTTCATTCCCCTTGACGCCTTAGGGAGGGGAGTGGCTGGTGTCCAGGTGCTGCGTTGCAAGTCAGTGTCTTGGGTGCCCTGAACTGCGTGAGTGCGTGTGAACAGAATACTCGTGTATTTGGAGGAGGGGGGGGGCTTGCACTGGAGGTGAGACTAGCAAGGCTGCCGCCACTGAAGGCGGAGGGAAGTGGGGCCGTTTCTTCCCAGTGGGACTCAGGGTGGGGCTTTGCAGTTTTTGTCCTCCCCTCAGGCGATGCAATGTGAAAATAATAAATAGGGAATGTTGCAGGGATGCCAGTCTCCAGGTGGGAGCTGGAGGTCCCCTGGAACTACAGCTACAGACGACAGAGATCAGTTCCCCTGGAGGGAATGGATGCTTTGGAGGGTGGACTCTGTGGCATTGTGCCCCACTGAGGCTCCCACAAAGGGTGGTGGGAGGAGGGTGCTTTTGGGGAAGACAGCGGGGGTGCATGCAGGGCTCAGGTCTTGGAGTGTCTCCCTCGGGGAAGGGCCAGGGAGAATCAAGGGCCAGGAGGCAGGATAAGAGAGATGGTGGCAGAGACAAAGAGAAAGAGAAAGGTCTTTGTTTTCGGGGAAGGGGGTGCGAGGGGTCGCGTTGTTCCCTCTAAGCTGTGAAGTCTTGTGAGCCAAAATTCTACTTGGTGAGCTACTGGCATTAAAGTTGTGAGCGGGCGATTTGCCTGCTGCATAAATTAGCTTACTCTGGAGCCATGTTTCCTGAGCTAAGACAAAAATGTGTGAGCCGGAGGCTAAAAAACTGTGATCTAGCTCACACTAACTCTGCTTAGAGGGAACAGTGGCTTGGAATTGCAGGGAATTGGCTGCGAACGGGTGCAGTATGATGCTGCTAGGTGATTAATACTGTGCATGTCTATTAGGGACTAAGCCCCACTAGGGAGGGGGCATGGCACAGTAGTAGAGCCTCTGCTAGGCCACTGGACTCTAAATTTGCTCTGCTGCATCAGACCAACACGGCTGACTATCTGGAATACGTAGGGGCAATAAAGTTGCTTTCAATTTACTGTTGCTTGGTTGGGCTCTTAAATTTTAGATCTTTGTGTGTCAGAATGGTTATTGTTATTAGCCACTTGGAGAATGGAGTTGGTTTAAATGTGGTCAGAAATAATGGAGATGTAATAAGATGAATGTGAACCCCCAACTTGTTCGTAATATATGTTGTCTGTTTGTTGCTTGTCTTTGTTAGATATAAAATAAAAAACCTTACAGCAAAAAAAGAGAAATAAATAAATAATGGACTGCCAAAAACAGAAACTTGTGGGTTCTAGATCAAATCTAGCCTGAACGCCTTAAAACCTAAAATGATCAAACTGAGCGTTAGAGAAATTTAGTTTGTTATTATAATGCTGAGCAAGGATCCAATATCATCACATACTTTTGATTATCGAGCATGAGATAGATTGTGTTAATTAATTTTCGATATTTATGTTTTTGTCCTTTCTTTCACCTTTGCTCAAAATCTGTTATTTAATACCCCTGAACTTTAGACAAGCATTGTCACGGTTACAGTGTGGTGATTCCCTTACTTTTTTCTAAGTTGCAGAAGGGTTTTTTTCCTTTTCTGCCCTGCCCAGGAATTTGAAATATTCTGTAAATGGGGTGGAGTGAATTATGTCTGGAAACGGGATGTAGGCTGTCCTGTGTGTTACTGAAGCCTGTCCTTTTTAAATTATTTTTCCCCTATAAAGAATGAACGCCATATCTGTTCAGAATGCCAGCTTGTTGTTGAATGAGCTGGTGTCAGAGTGAATTCCATAAATAAAACCGCCCACTTTGCTAGAGGGAAAGCCTTGAAGTGAGTTTTTCCTCTCCCAGGCAAATCTTGGAGAGTGGGTGGTGGTGGTGGATTTCATTGGGAGTGCAATTTAAGAGAATCGCCTGACACTGAGGCATTTGTACTTTGGTCACATTATGAGAAGACAAGACCCACTGGAAAAAGGCAATAATGTTAGGAAAAGCTGAAGGCAGCAGGAAAAGAGGATGACCCAATCGGACGACTGGAACAGGCAGGCTTATTCATTGGTGAAAGAAGTTTGTGTCGTTCCTTTCTTGGCGGTGGGGCAGAGTTCTTGTGGCCCTTTTTTACACGCCCGGGGACATGCTGATCGCCACTTTGGGGTCAGGAAGCAATTTTTCTCTAGGCCAGTTTGGCCAAGGATCCCGGAGGTTTTTTTGGTCACCTTCTGGGCATGAAACAGGGGTCACTGGGAGTGTGTGCGGGAGGTATTTGTGAATTTCCTGCATTGTGCAGGGGGTTGGACTAGATGACTCTGGAAGTCCCTTCCAGCTGTATGATTCTGTGGCCACTAAATGGAAGGCAGGTTCTTTTCCTTGGGGTGATTTCTTTATTGATGGTCTGTCTTGTTTGGGAGAATTGGGTGTTTTGGGGGTCTGTCTGGGTGGTTGGCTCACTGGCACTGAGCTCCATATCGTCATCCTTTGTAACATGAGTCATCTTCCGTTCCTTCCTTCCCGCAGGATTGGCGCGAGGGGGCATCCGGCGCCTCCATGATGGCTTCTGATCTAGGAGATACCTCAAGTTTGGAACCCCCTTCGGTGCCCCTTCTGGAGACTCGGGTACCATCGGTAAAGTCACCCCTCCCTAGGGCATGGAGCAGGGGTCACCGAGGGAGTGGGGGGGGGAGGAAACTGGATTTCCTGCATAGTCTGGGAGGGTGGACTAGATGACCGCTGAGGTTCCTTCTGGCTCTAAGTGGGAGGCTGCGACCGCGCCCCTGCAAGCCACAGTTGGGTGGGAAGCGTGACCCACTTCTTTTTTAAAATTTGTTTTATTTATTGAAAGTGTTTATTAGCTGCATCTTTCCCTTGAGCAGGGGTGGCCAAACTGGCTCCGGAGCCGCCTGCGGCTCCGTCACACATATTGTGCAGCTCCCGGCAGGGCAGCTGGGGAAGCTAAGTATCATTAGCAAACAAATATCACTGGGCAAATAACGATCATTATCGATATCTGCTTTTACCGCTTTTGATATTATTTTTGGCAGTCTCGTTTAATATTAACAAAAAGCAAATCTGCGTATTTCCCAGTAAAAACGTGTAATGTCTGTTCATGTCTTGCGGCTCTCAAACGTCTGACGTTTTATTCTATGTGGCTCTTTATGTTAAGCAAGTTTGGCCACCCCCTGCCCTTGAGGGACTGAAGGCGGCTTACAGTACAAATAAAACAGTATAAAGAAACACAATAAAACCAACTGTTATGAAACCCAGGGAAAGACACAATTTAAGAACTTCAGTTAGGACTGCCAATAATAAAAGCTGAAGCAGTCCAGTCCAGTTCGAAGTAAAATGGTCCTCAACGGCCTCTGGAAGGTCGAGAGTGAGGTGGCCAGACACGCCTCCATGGGGAGGCACTTCCAGAAAGGTGGGACCGCCACGGAAAAAGGTTGTCCCAGGTTCACAGAAGTCCCAAGGGAAATGATGAGCAAATCGAGGTTTGCTTCCAAGGTGATTTTTAATAAAGCGTCAGACTTACAGAAAATGCAGGCTAAGTATCCACTGCTGGGCCTCAAGCTAGGGATGCCAGCCTCCAGGTGGGGCCTGGGGATCCCCTGGAATTACAGCTCGCCTCCAGACTACAGAAATCAGTTCCTCCTGGATAAACTGGATGCTTGGGAGGGTAGACTGTATGGCATTGTACCTCACTGAGGTCCCTGTCCTCCCCAGGCTCCACCCCCAAATCTCCAGGAGTCCCTCAACCTAGATCTGGCAACCCTACTGAGAGCCAGTCTGGTGTAGTAGTTAGGAGTACAGACTCTAATCTGGGAGGACCAGGTTCGATTCCCCACTCCTTTTTCACATGCAGCTGCTGGCATGACCTTTGGGTCAGTCACAAGTTCTTTCAGAGCTGTGCCTGAAAGGGCAATTCTCGAGAGAGCTCTCTCAGCCTCACCTCCCTCCCAGGGTGTCTGCTGTGGGGAGGGGAGGGGAAAGGAGACCGTAAGCCACTCTGAGACTCTGAGTGAAGGGCGGGGTATAAGTCCAATCTCCTCCTCTTCTTCTTCTTTGTCTTCGTCTTCTACTCCATCCCCTGCTGAGGACCAGGGGGGACCCGGCAACCCTACCTCGAGCGTGTGCACACACAGCAAAGCTTTCCAGAATCTGAGGCCCCCTGCATAACTCAGACGAGGCGTCTTATGCCCTAAACACTGACTACCAGTCAAAGGATGACTCATTAAGCTGTCCCAAACATGAGGATGAGCCGGTGGGGGGGAAGAAACAACCCAGGCCTTGAAGATAAGTCCTGCTAACGAGCAGGAGAGAGAGAGGAAAGTTTCCTTGGGAGCGGCTGAACCCCGTCCTCCCACCGAGCTCAGGGCCACTAAGCACCAGCGTGTAACCAAGGTGGAGTTAAGAACCACAAGGGCAAGAAAGAAGTCTAATAAAGGGCCAGTACTGAAAACCAAGTGGCCTAGATACGTTACAATATTACATATCGCAATAATCCCATTGTAATATGTAATATTGTAACGTGTACCTCAAACTGTTTGACCTCTGAAGAAGGGCCCCCCCCCATAGGGCAGAAAGAGGTCACGTGTGTTGGCCCTTGCGTTCAGGCCACTTGAACTTTTCAACGAGGCTTTCATTGGGCCCTTATATGTTTTTAACTGCCTTTCTAATAAATACATGTATTTTTGTATATTATAAATTTTAACTAGGTTTTTAATATTGGCCCTTGATCAGACTTCTTTCTTACCCTTGTGGTCCTTGATTCCAGTTTTTGGGTCAAGTTTGTTTTCCCTTTCCTGTGTTTTACTACCAAGATGGAGTTACCTAGGACATACAAAGGACCTCTCTCGTGTGCCGCCACCGAAGGCGCCTCTTCAGTTGACTCGGGTGGGGCAGGCACCGCCTGGTGATTCCAGGCCCCCGGGAGGCAAAGCTTGCTGCGACCAGGGCCAGATCCTTTTCAGTGGCGGCCCCCACCTGGTGGAATGAGCTCCCGGAGGAGATCAGGGCCCTGCGGGACCTTATGCAGTTCCGCAGGGCCTGCAAGACGGAGCTCTTCCACCAGGCTTTCATATAGGGGCCGCCACTACCACCACCGCCAGCGGTGGGGACAACAGCGGGGTTAGGGGCGGTCCCCGGAAGATCTGCCATAATCTTGCATGGCACTGATACCGCTGGACTGGCCTTGGACTATCTACAGGACAATATCACCCCCAATGAAATGACTGATACCATCATGAAATTATTCGGAGGCCATCTTGTTTGCATGGAGCACTTTATTCTTGTTTTCGTTGTTATTTAATGGTTTTATTGTTTTATCTTGTTTTCATGCATGGGCCTGTGCCCTCTTGTAAGCCGCCCTGAGCCCGCTCGCGGGGAAGGGGGTGTAAAAATGTTAAAAGTAAATAAAGAAATAAACTCTTTGCTGCCTCTGTCATGTTGGCCGTCCTTCCAACTGATGTATTTTCCGTCTCTTGGCTTCTCTAGAAAAAAGCGAACAGAAAAGGGGGGCTGCCGGAGGCCAAGAGGAAGGGGCGAGCTAGACGGTTGAACAAAGATGCGGAGGATCTGGTCTCGGGCATGCAGCAATTGGTAGGTTGGGCTTCCTGAGTTCTGGGACTGGGGGGGTGGGACGGGGACGTGTGGGATCCTGGTCACCATTGCTGAGGTCCTGGAAAACAGGACTTGTGTTCGGCGGGTGAAACTGAGCGGATATGGTTAGTTAAGAGAGCAGCATGAAGTTTAGTGATGGCGAAGGAGTGCCACCATCTTTGAAATGCGAACATTTTTAGGACTGCGTTGTCAGTGGTGGGGTGGACCGTGGAAGACCTGGTTTCATGCTCTGAACACATAGCATGGAATGGTGTGTGTGTTCCCTCTAAGCTGAGTTCGTGTGAGCTAGCTCACAGTTTTTTAGCCTCCAACTCGCACATTTTTGCCTTCGCTCAGGGAGGATGTACGCAGCAGCCCAATCGCCGGCTCACAACTTGAATGCCAGCAGCTCACAAAGTAGAATTTTTGCTCACGAGACTCCACAGCTCAGAGGGATCATTGGTGTGTGTGTAAAGTGCCTCAAGTCACAGCTGACTTACTGCCACCCTGTAGGGTTTTCCAGGCAGGAAATGTTCAGAGGTGGTTTGCCGTTGTCCGCCTCTGTGCAGCGACCCTGGGCTTCTTTGGTGGCCTCCCCTCCAAATACTAACTAGGGCTGGCGTTTCTTCGCTTCCGAGATCAGACAAGATCAGACTACCCTGGGCCATCCAGGCCAGGGCAGAGGGATCATTGGTGTGTGTGTAAAGTGCCTCAAGTCACAGCTGACTTACTGCCACCCTGTAGGGTTTTCCAGGCAGGAAATGTTCAGAGGTGGTTTGCCGTTGTCCGCCTCTGTGCAGCGACCCTGGGCTTCTTTGGTGGCCTCCCCTCCAAATACTAACTAGGGCTGGCGTTTCTTCGCTTCCGAGATCTGACAAGATCAGGCTACCCTGGGCCACCCAGGCCAGGGCAGAGACATCCAGAGGTGGTTTTGCCCTTGCCTGCCTCTGCATAGCGACCCTGGGCCTCCTTGGTGGCCTCTCCTCCAAATACTAACCAGGGCCGGCCTTTCTTAGCTTCCGAGATCGGACAAGATTGGGCTAGCCTGGGCCATCGGGGTCAGGGCGACATAAATCAGACTCTTGGCCTCTCAAGTTAAGTATTGCCTAGTCTGAGTTCTGGCTATCCGCGATCTTGGGCGGAGGTCTTTCCCCCTCATCTACCACCTGAACCTCTAACTGGAGATGCTGATGCTTTAAGTTAGGGTCTTTTGAGCTGACACATCTCACCTGACTTTCAGGGTAGGTTGTCATCACGAGGCAATGTTTGTGTGGGTGCCTTTGAAGGCAGTTCAGAAGCTTTGTTTGGTTGAAAAGGCGGCCAGAAAACTGCTGGCAGCTACTTGTTACAGGGAACAGACTTTGTTCTCCCCGTGACCAAAATCTGCTGAGGATGCAGTGCCAGGATCTGACTTGGCCCAGGTGTGTGTTGATAGTGGACAGTTTTATTTGGTTAATTGGTTTGAGATGGTTTTTTAAATTTCCCCTCTCTTATGCCCAATGCTGCCTCTAAGCTGCGGAGTCTTGTGAGCAAAAATTCTACTTTGTGAGCTACTGGCATTAAAGTTGTGAGTGTACAGTTTGGCTGCTGCATACATTCGTTTGCTCTGGAGCCCTCCTTCCTGAGCTAAGACAAAAAAGTGTGAGCCGGAGGCTAAAAAACTGAGCTAGTTCACACTAACTCGACTTAGTGGGAACATTGCTTAGGCCACTGCTATTTTTATGGCTGCTGTCGATTACTGTTATCATCTTACTGGTTTTAGCTTGTGTTCATGCGGCTATTTTCTTGCACTGATTTTATTGATTTTAATACTGTTTTTAATGTTCTGATTTAACCTGTGAACTGCCTCATTCAGCACATATTAAAATAAATACAGTAGTAATTAAAAGGTGGGGGGGAGCCCTGAAGGAACTAGAAAAGATTGAGTGTAAGGATGTGTCGCTGGTGACCAAGATCAGGATAATCCGTACTGTAATATTCCCCATTATTACGTATGGGTGTGAAAGTCGGACAATGAAGAAAGCAGACAGGAAGAAAATGGATTCCTTTGGAATGTGGTGTCAGAGGAGAGTTTTATGGATACCCCGAACTGCCAAAAAGGCAAATAAGCAGGTTGTACGCAATGCTCCCTCTGTGGGGTCTTGTGAGCAAAATTTCTACCTTGTGAGCTACTGGCCTTAAAGTTGTGAGCGAGCAATGTGGCTACTGCATAAACTAGTTTGCTCTGGAGCCATCCCTTCCTGAGCGAAGCCAAAAGTGTGTGAGCTGGAGGCTAAAAAACAGTGAGCTAGCTCACAGTAACTCAGCTTAGAGGGAACACTGGTCGTCCGTCAAATCAAGTCGGAACTCTCCCCAGAAGCGAAAAATAACTAATCTGAGGTAATCTTACTTGGGTCGCATTATGAGAAGACAAGTTGCTAGAAAAGACAGTAATGCCAGGAGAAGTTAAAAGTGGCAGAAAACGAGGAAGACCCCAACATGAGATGGATCGACTCAATCAAGGAAGCCACAGGCTTCAGTTTGCAAGCCATGAGCAAGGCTGTTAATGAGAGGACATTTCGGAGGTCATTTGGAGGCTAGCTTGGTGTAGTGGTTAAGTGTCCGGACTCTAATCTGAGAGAACCGGGTTTGATTCCCCAATCCTCCACTTACAGCTGCTGGATGACCTTGAGCAAGCCATAGTTCTCCCAGAGCTGTTCTCTCAAGAGCAGTTTCTTTCAGAGCTCTCTCAGCCCCACCTCCCTCACAGGGTGTCTGTTGTGGGGAGGGGAAGGGAAAGGAGTTTGTAAGCCACTCTGAGACTCCGAGTGAAGGGCGGAATTCTTAATTCAAGGGCCACAATAAAGCGGAAGCAACTTGACATCATTTAATACACATAATAGCTATCTGGGAACCCACACTCCTGTCCCATTTAATCGCTGAGACATCTAATTAGGTTTTACATGGCATTTTATGATTATGTGCTGTTTTAATCTGTTGTTTTAAAGTGGTTTTTAATTGTATAGTGTACTCATAGTGTACTCATATTATTGGAACTCGCCCTGAGCCTTGGGAGGGCGGGATACAAGTCCAATAAAATAAATAAGTAAATAAATAATAGTGATTCCAGGACTCCGGTTTGTGTCCATCTCTCACTGCTAAGCACTGAAATAAGTCCAGTTCCAGAATTCTGAAAGCTTCAGGGCAGGTTACTTGCCGAACAATCTGTTTACCCCTTTTTCTCCCGCCCTTCAAGGCATGGAGGGCAATTTATGTAATTTAGCTCTCCCCTTTTTATCCATACAACACCCCTTTGAGGTGGGATATAGGCTTGGAGAAAGTCACTGTCCTGAGGCCACTCAGTGGGTTTTCATGGTGAATGGGGATGTGGACCTGGCTCAGTATGGTGTAGTGGTTAAGTGCGCGGACTCTAATCTGGGAGAACCGAGTTTGATTCCCCACTCCTCCACTCGCAGCTGCTGGATGACCTTGG